GGAATACCTTCTTAGTAGTTTATACCCTCTTAACAGTTTTCATATCTATCTAACTCTCAAGCTTCCTCCTTCAGTTATATATTCAAGATGGACAGTATTTAATATTTATTTGTCATGTATATGTACGGGTGTGGGTCTATACATATTTTGTATATAGTATGTTTAGATGTGTGTCATGTATGTGTTTCACTTTGAAAATGGGCAACTATATTTCATTTTTGATGTATGCCATTGTGCCCACAGTAAAAAAATGACAACAAAGATTATCTTATCTTATCTTATCTATATTCTGTTGCCTATAATAGAATTTAATATTGTATTTAATTGGTTTGTTAGTCAACTCTAGATTTTTAAAATTAGAAATGAAATTTAATTATTTTAAGTAATACATTTTAGGTAAATTACTTTAGACTTGTTGCGGACAGAAATTAATTAACAATATTTAAAAATATGAGATTATTTTTGTTCATTTTCAGATGAATTCTCCTTGTATTCCAGTCCTGCCTTTATACCGTACTTCTGCACCTGAATACACATTTCTCACTTTTTAGGAGTTCTCCTGTAGTCCTGCTTTTTAAAATGTATAATAATTTAATGCAGATTTCAGAGTCTTGGAATCTTTGTTTTATTAGAATTCAAGCTGCTAGAACAGAATTGTGCAACTTTTTCTGGGTAGCAAGTTACATTTAACTTTGAGAGATGTGTGAGTCAGCAGACACCAAAAAGCAGTGGGTGGAGCCAATAGAAAGTTCATTTTATTTTATTCCATTTAAATTTTCTTTACACTAAGTGGGAAATATGATTGTACTCCATTCAAGTATTTTATAATGTTTTTAAAATTGCTGTTTGATAGCAACGTTTGGAGGTCTCTGGGACTGCATCAAGAATTTCAGGAGTCTGTTTTGAGCCCATTATTATTTTATAATAATGTTCAAGAATCAGATACAAATTTGAATCAGGCTTATTAGAATAAAACTAAAATCATATGCAAAACAGAAGCTTAGGGGAAATGTGCATCTAAAGTTAGTGAAGAATATTCCAAGCACACAACATAGTAAATTCCCGCTTTGGATATGGACTAGATCAGGGGTCCCCAACCCCTGGGCCACAGCCCTCTACCAGGCCTTGAGCCCTTGCAACCAGACCGCAGAAGCGGCCTTCAGGCATGTAGGCCGCCACTGGTCCACAAAGCCAGAAAGGTTGGGGAACACTGGACTAGATGATTTCCAAGATGTCTTCCAACCCTTATATTCTGTGATTTTATGTATCTTTACTATTATTTCTAGATTCACAGGCTTTCTCCACATAATCTAGTCCCGTTTTTTCTCAATTTTTTTTCACATTGGAAACTAATTTACTGCATTTACCGGTACATGTTATATTAAACAGTTAGAAATTATATCATTCAAAGGTCTACTATTAGACGTGATCTAACTTTTATCCACCTTTGTCATAAATTCAATAGAATAAAGCACACATGTTCTTTTTTTAATTATGGAAGATGAATTTATAGCATGTCCTAATTGAAAGCCAGCTGGATGTAGTGGATAAGGCACCAGCCAGTGAGAGATCTTGGGCCAAGTACTCTTTTTCAGTCTTAGGAAGAAGGAAATAGTAAATCACTTCTGACAGGTTCCCCAACTATGGCCCTTTTATGACTTGTGGATTTCAACTCCCAGAATTCCTGAACCAGCCAAGTCATAAAGGGGCCACCTCTGAATTCTGAAATCTTGCCAACAAAACTTTAGGGACTTGTCCAGACAAGTGCCAGGAATCAACGCAGACTCAAGGCATCCCATGCCATATTATTTGATATACTACATTTTTTGCTAATGTAAGAGACACTTTGGTATCAAGAACCATAAAAGATTGTAACAATTAAGGTTCATAATGTTTCTGAAAAATATTTTATCTTCCTCTAGACTATAGACCAGATCAGTTGCTGTATATCTCTTCAACATCTTGATATGTCAGATAACAATATATCTCAAATAGGAGATATCTCCAAACTTTCATCTCTAAAGGTAAATATTGCTTAGCTTATATTATTTGATGGTCTAAGTATTCCTAATTAAGGAGTGAGTTAACAGCAGTATTGTTGCCCTTTGTAATAAAGATTTGAGTTAACAGCAGCATTGTTGCCTTTTGACTGTAATAAAGATTTAATTTGATTCACAAGAACATTTTCTTCAAGTAACTATGAATAAAATGTAGTGTAAAGCTGTCTCAAATAAAAATCTTCTGTAAATGCCTTTAAAGCAGTCATGTCCAACCTGCGGGCCACATGTGGCCCTGGAGAGCTAGTAATGCAGCCTCACAAGATAAAAATATAAAAAAAATAAAGGAAGTTTTTATTTATATACATTATATTGTATATTTTTCGCCGAGCCCTGAAGGCCCATCTATTCCGTGCGGCCGGCCTGGCGTAGTTTGATTATGTTTCAGTGGGGTTTTTTTGTATGGGTGTGTTTTTAGAACAGGCCTGTTATTTAATTCGATTTTAAAACAGAAACTATTTATTTATTATCGTGGTTTTTAGTATCGCCTGTTCACCGCCCTGAGTCCCGCAAGGGAG